GGTACCCAGCTGGTCCTCAGAAGGATCATAACCCTCCAACGGATGAGAAGCTCCACGGTGCTGTCACAGGATCGAATGTCTCGAGGAAAGGTTGCACTATCGATCAGTACAAGGCGCTTTTATACTTCCAGAGTACATCAGGTAACCAGGTTTATCTTATCCTAAGGGAATAGACCCTTCTAGAAGATAGAATCACCCTGCGTATAGCCACGCGAGGCTATTGGCTTTAAGGGATTACGGCAGGATTACGCTAGATAAGCGCACCAGTACATCCAAGCCTGGTCGGTGATATAATTATAATAGCAGGATAAACCAAAGGTTAATGGAAAAGGAGAATAGGAAACCAAATGAGATGGAAAAAAGAGAAATGAAAAGGAAGGAAATAAGAAAAGGCCAAGTGGTGTAACGGGGTCGTACTCTCACACTTCCCCCCCTCAAAGCTGGGTGGTAGAAGTAACACCCTGCTTGACAAGGTAGTCATGCAGAGGACGACGGGCGTTACCCATGTCGGACTCAGGACCCAGCTGTCCTCAGAAGGATCATAACCCTTCCAACGGATGAGAAGCTCCACGGTGCCATTCCGACGACGGCGGTGTGCAAGCACGGACTCGACCTCGTACTCGGGTTCGTTCTGGACGAGGACGGGCGGCGGCGGCGGCGGCTGGCGTCCGACGAAGATCGTGTTAGGATCCGATAGGGCTTCAGAAGTTGGACATGGAAGGCGTTGTGAATCTTCCAGGTAGCTGGCAGGCGTAAGCGGAAGGTAACAGGAGTGACCTGTGCTTCAACGAGAAAAGGCCCGCAGAAGCGAGGTCGAAGTTTAGATGGGAGATGGCTGATGTCCAGGTTGCGGGTGTCAAGAAGCACCTGGTCTCCCACCGTGATGGTGTGGTCGTTGCGATGGCGATCGGCTGGCGCTTCTGTTGCTGTTGAAATGAGGAGGCGCTTGTGGGTCCGATCCCAAAGCTGATGCATGGTTGTGATGAAATCATGTGCAGGTTGGACTGTAGCTGATGCTGTCGGTTTTTGTGGTGTGAGTGGGTGGCGTCCGTAGCAGAGGAAGAACGGCGTCTGTCCAGTAGCGGCATGTGTAGCATTGTTGTAAGCAAACTCGAGTACGGGCAGGTGCAAGTCCCATTTGGAGATGTCGTCCTTGCAGGCTGCTCGGAGGAGTTGCTCAACAATTTGGTTGAGGCGCTCGGTCTGTCCGTCTGTCTGCGGATGGTATGCGGATGACATGGCGAGTTTGGTGCCGAGAAGAGACATAAGTTCCTTCCAGAACTTGCTGGTGAACTTGGGGTCTCGGTCGGAATGAGTGTAGTTGGGATGCCATGCTGTGAGATGATGTGACGAACGAAGAGCTGTGCTGTCTCCTCGGTGCGTGCCGTCGTGTGTGTCGGGATGAAGTGTCCCATTTTGGAGAACTTGTCAATGACGACAAGGATGGCGTCATGACCGCTGGAGGTAGGTGGTAACCCGGTGATGAAGTCAGGCTAACCACTTGCCATGGTTGTTCTGGGACAGGAAGAGGCTGCAGTAGTCCCGCCTTTTTCTGCTTGCTGCTCTTCATCCGCTGACATGTATCACACGAGGTGACGAATTTCTGGACGTCGTCTGCCATATGGGGCCAGTAGTAGTTTGGCGATACCGGTGAGCGTCTTGTTGCTACCGAAGTGTCCGGCGTAGAGGACGTCGTGGTATTCTTCGAGTAGTAACTGGCGCAAAGGGAGGTAATTGGGTACCCAGATTTTTGTTGATCCTTTCCGGTACGCGATGTCACTGTCCCACTGTAGCAGATGTCGCTTTTCTGCCAAGGGAAATTTCGGGGTCGATGGCGTACCCGTGTGTGAAGAGTCCCTTGAGTAGTGGATTCATCCCTTCGACTGAATCGCGGCAACGTGTGCAGGCCGGCTGAGAGCGTCTGCTTTGTTTTTGTGGCCGGGCTTGTACACGATGTCGTAGTGGAAGTGTGTCTCGAGGAAGTCGATCCACCGGACTGCCGCCTGGAAAGGTTGGGTTGTGTCTTCAAATATTTCAGGCTGCAGTGGTCGGTGTAGACGGTCGTTCTTCGTCCTTCGAGATAGCATCTCCACGCTTTGAAGGCGATGATGATAGCAAGAGCCTCTTTGTCGTGTATCGGGTAGTTTGAGTTCGCCCGTTGCAGTTTTCTTGCTGAGGTAGGCAATTGGTTGCAGTCCATTCCCTGGTCTTGCATTAAGACTGCTCCCACGGCCTGATCACTGGCGTCTGCTTCAATGACGTAGTCACGTTCGGGATCTGGCAAGATGAGACCGGTGCGGACGTGAGTGCTTGTTTCAGCTGCTCCACGGCTTCCTGGTGCTTGTTCCCATTTGTAGGGCGTGTTCTTCTTCAGCAGATTCGTGAGTGGTGCTGCGATTTTCGCATACTGTGGCACGAACCTGTTGTAGTAATTAGCGAAGCCTAGGAACTGCTGCAACTCCTTCACGTTCTCGGGTGTCTTCCTCGTACGTACGGCTTCGATTTTCTTGGGGTCGACGTGAACTCCTTGAGCGCTCACCAGGTGTCCTAGGAATGGACCTTTTCAAGGGCGAATTCGCTCTTGGACAGTTTGACGTAGAATCGTTCTCGTCGAAGAATTTCGAAGACGCGTCGCAGGTGTTCGACGTGCTGCTTCATGTCGCGCGAGTAGATGAGGATGTCGTCCAGGTACACCACCACGCATTCGTCCAAGAGTGGTCGTAAGAATGTGGTTCATTTCGGCTTGGAACGTTGCGGCGCGTTGGTGAGTCCGAACGGCATGACCAAATACTCGTACGATCCGTACCGAGTTCGGAAAGCAGTTTTGTGGATAGAGTTGTCCGCCATCCGTATCTGCCAGTATCCGGACCGCAGATCCAGTTTGGAAAATACCGTAGCTCCCCGAAGCTGGTCAAGCAGGTCATCGATTCGCGGTATCGGATATTTATTCTTGATGGTCTGCTTGTTAAGAGCTCGGTAGTCGATGCACATGCGCAGGCTTCCGTCGGTTTCGGTGTGAAGAGTACTGGGGGCACCGTACGGCGAAGTGGATGGTCGGATGAGTCCTTTAGCTAGGAGATACTCGATCTGCTTCTTCATGTCGGTCAGCTCCGTAGGGCTGAGTCGATATGGTGCTCGGAAGGTCGGCTTCGAACCCGGTTCCTCCACGATCTCGTGTTGATGCGTTCGGTATGGCGGTAGCTCGTTCGGAAGATCGTCAGGAAGAATGTCTTGGAACTCCTTCAGTAATTCCTTGATTTTTTCTGGAGTCTCCGAGGCTTTCTCTCCGTCATTCTCCACCTCTGTTGCTATCGCCAGGAACCCGGTGTCGGTCCGCTTCACGTCCTTCTCGAATCGTGCGAGTGTCTCCACTGGGATATCTCCAGTATCGTCCCAGTTGGGTAGCTGTACTCTCCGTCCATTGTTGTAGATGCTTGCGGTGTGGTTCACCCAGTTGATCTCGGGGTTGAATTTTTTCAGGAAGTCTCGCCCGAAGATCAAGTCAAGCCCTTTGATGTTGGTGATGGGGAGTGCAGGTCTCCAGCGCAGTGGTCCAATTTGTAGGTGTAGCACTGCTTCGCCGTGTACTGGTAACTTGCTGCCGTCCACCATCGTTGCAGAGAATCCTGAAGGCTTGTACTCTTCCCGAAGTCGGTCGATCATTGCCTTGTCGCAGACGGTGTGTGATGCTCCGCTGTCCACGAGTGCTTGGAGGCGTCGTCCTTTGCAGATGACCTCGAGCACGAGGGGCAGTCGTTGCTCGGAGTACCCAAAGATAGTTTCATTGATTGGGTCATAGGGTACATCCCAATATTCCGTACACACCTTTGTGTTGCTGTCTACTCCTGAGCTGGCAGCTGGCCGAGGCTGCTTGGAGAACGGCTCTTCTCCAGGGCCCGGAGTTTCCTTGACGACTGTGCGCGTCACTGATGCCGAAGAACTGGATGCATCCGTAGGAGGAGTTCGGGGTTTGTGCAGCTTCTTGTAGACCCCCAGCTTCCTCTTGAGCTGCTTCAGCTCCACCGACGTCTTCCCTGGGGAACGGGTAGTCGTTGTGGGCTGGTGTCGGGAGAGGACGTTGACTCCGTGGAAAGGTCGGCTTCTTTCCACACTCCTTAATTTGGTCCCCAAGTTGTCCGGTACCGGTATAATCTCCACAGCTGTCTGCTTCTTTTGGAGTCCCTCCCGAAATTTCTCCAAGGCTCTAGCCCCTCGAACATCATAAGTTTTCATTAAAGCATCTTTATAAGATAACTTTAACGAATTCTTATAATTTCTTGGGTCTTCAAGGAGTTTCCCTGTCTCGGCAGAGTCTTTTTTCGCGGAGTCGTATTTTTCCTCGGCGATTTTCCCTGGCGAAGACTGGTCGTGGGGTGGAGATTTTCCCCCATCATTTCCTCCTTCTCGCGTCGAATCAGCTTCGTCGAAGTTGATTTTTCCGGAATCCCGCGGCCGCTTTCGGATCTTTTTATTTTCGCCAGCTAGATCCGCAATCACTGGCGACTCCCGTTTTTTGTCTTCTGATTGGCCGAAAGATTTCCGCCACTGTTGCGTGCCCGATACTCTGCGCGTGCGGCCTTCATTTTGTTGCAGTCGAAGATTCGGTGGCCCGGCACCCCGCAAAAATCACACGTGTAGTTGGTGTTTTTCGGACGTGGCCGCCCCTCGAATCTGTCGACTTCCATCGGGTCGGCGAACGTGGGGTGAGCCGAGCGGTCGCCCTGTCGCGTACTGCCGACGTGCGTCCGTCGTGTTCCGGCGTTGACCATGTCGAAGCGCTCCGCTGCCGAAACGACGTCACTGTAGCTCGCGTAGTTTGACGCTGCGACTTGTCGTTTGACTTCGGTCTTCAGCCCGGCGAGGTACGATTGTACTTTTTCCCCTTCGGTCAGGTCGGGAATTCGGTTATAAAATTCTCCATCTGCTGCGTGTACTGCGCTACACTCCCGAACTGTCGGTGTCGATGAATTTTTTTCCCGGGCAAGGAAACTCGAATTTATCGGTTCGAAGCGTTTCAGCAGGTCGGCGCGGAACTGCTGCCACGTGGCTTCACCGTGGATGAAAGTACTGTTGCCGCCAATCCACTCGAGTGCCGGCCCTCGCATCAGTGTCGCCGCGAGTCGTACGCGTTGACCGTCCCAGACTGGCGAGCTCCATCCGACGGCTGCGAAGTAGATCTCCATCCCGGCGATCCATCTGCGGGCGTCGGAGTTTCGATCGCTCGGATCGAACGGCTCAGGTGGGCGCGGTTTCGGAGCCTCGAGAAACTGCTGCGACTGCTGCGTCGTCGCCGTTGTCGTCTCGTGCTGCGCTCCGGCGAGTCGAGTTACTCGCTCGAACTGGTTTCGCCACGCTTCGCGATCCGCTCGCATTTCCTCCTGAAGGGCTGCGATGCGCGCGAAGAGCTGCTGGGTAACCTCGGCGTTGTCGAAGGTTGCCATCCTGTTCAAAACACGCACGGAGGGGGTAATTCGAAAATCGCGGAGCTGGTGCTTACCAGAATCGGCGTCGAATTGGTCGCCCCCGGCGGTTTTTCGAGGCAGGATCCCCGCTGCTGCTGCTTAGCTGAGCGCGGTCGAGTGAGAAAAGCTCTGATTACCAAGTGTCACAGGATCGAATGTGTCGAGGAAAGTTGCACTATCGATCAGTACAAGGCGCTTTTATACTTCCAGAGTACATCAGGTAACCAGGTTTATCTTATCCTAAGGGAATAGACCCTTCTAGAAGATAGAATCACCCTGCGTATAGCCACGCGAGGCTATTGGCTTTAAGGGATTACAGCAGGATTACGCTAGATAGAGCGCACCAATACATCCCAAGCCTGGTCGGTGATATAATGATAATAGCAGGATAAACCAAAGGTTGATGGAAAAGGAAGAATAGGAAACCAAATGAGATGCGGTAAAAAGAGAAATGGAAAAGGGAAGGAAATAAGAAAAGGCCAAGGTGGTGTAACGGGGTCGTACTCTCAACAAAGGTTGCCATTCCGACGACGGCGGTATGCGAGCACGGACCTCGACCTCGTACTCGGGTTCATTCTGAACGAGGACGGCGGTGGCGGCGGCGGTTGGCGTCCGACGAAAATTGTTTCGGGTCCCGATAGGGCTTCAGAAGTTGGACGTAGGAAGGCGTTGTGAATCTTCCAGGTAGCTGGCAGGCGTAAGCGGAAGGTAACAGGAGTGAACCTGTGCTTCAACGAGAAAAGGCCCGCAGAAGCGAGGTCGAAGTTTAGATGGGAGATGGCTGATGTCCAGGTTGCGGGTGTCGAGAAGCACCTGGTCTCCCACGGAACATGGTGTGGATCGTTGCGATGGCGATCGGCTTGGCGCTTCTGTTGCTGTTGAATGTCGAGTAGGCGCTTGTGGGGTCCGATCCCAAAGCTGATGCATGGTTGTGATGAAATCATGTGGCTGGTTGGACTGTAGCTGATGCTTGTCGGTTTCTGTGGTGTGAGTGGGTGGCGTCCGTAGCAGAGGAAGAACGGCGTCTGTCCAGTAGCGGCATGTGTGGCGTTGTTGTAAGCAAACTCGAGTACGGGCAGGTGCAAGTCCCATTTGGAGATGTCGTCCTTGCAGGCTGCTCGGAGGAGTTGCTCAACAATTTGGTTGAGGCGCTCGGTCTGTCCGTCTGTCTGCGGATGGTATGCGGATGACATGGCGAGTTTGGTGCCGAGCAGAGACATAAGTTCCTTCCAGAACTTGCTGGTGAACTTGGGGTCTCGGTCGGAAATGAGTGTGGTTGGGATGCCATGCTGTGAGATGATGTGACGAACGAAGAGCTGTGCTGTCTCCTCGGTGCGTGCCGTCGTGTGTGTCGGGATGAAGTGTCCCATTTTGGAGAACTTGTCAATGACGACAAGGATGGCGTCATGACCGCTGGAGGTAGGTGGTAACCCGGTGATGAAGTCTAGGCTAACCACTTGCCATGGTTGTTCTGGGACAGGAAGAGGCTGCAGTAGTCCTGCCTTTTTCTGCTTGCTGCTCTTCATCCGCTGACATGTATCACACGAGGTGACGAATTTCTGGACGTCGTCTGCCATATGGGGCCAGTAGTAGTGTTTGGCGATACCGGTGAGCGTCTTGTTGCTACCGAAGTGTCCGGCGTACAGGACGTCGTGGTATTCTTCGAGTAGTAACTGGCGCAAAGGAGGGTAATTGGGTACCCAGATTTTTGTTGATCCTTTCCGGTACGCGATGTCACTGTCCCACTGTAGCAGATGTCGCTTTTCTGCCAAGGGAATTTCGGGGTCGATGGCGTACCCGTGTGTGAAGAGTCCCTTGAGTAGTGGATTCATCCCTTCGACCTGAATCGCGGCAACGTGTGCAGCCGGCTGAGAGCGTCTGCTTTGTTCTTGTGGCCGGGCTTGTACACGATGTCGTAGTGGAAGTGTGGTCTCGAGGAAGTCGATCCACCGGACCTGCCGCCTGGAAAGGTTGGGTTGTGTCTTCAAATATTTCAGGCTGCAGTGGTCGGTGTAGACGGTCGTTCTTCGTCCTTCGAGATAGCATCTCCACGCTTTGAAGGCGATGATGATAGCAAGAGCCTCTTTGTCGTGTATCGGGTAGTTGAGTTCTGCCCCGTGCAGTTTCTTGCTGAGGTAGGCAATTGGTTGCAGTCCATTCCCCTGGTCTTGCATTAAGACTGCTCCCACTGCCTGGTCGCTGGCGTCAGCTTCGATTACGTAGTCGCGTTCGGGATCTGGCAAGATGAGTACCGGTGCGGACGTGAGTGCTTGTTTCAGCTGCTCCACGGCTTCCTGGTGCTTTCGTTCCCATTTGTAGGGCGTGTTCTTCTTCAGCAGATTCGTGAGTGGTGCTGCGATTTCGCATACTGTGGCACGAACCTGTTGTAGTAATTAGCGAAGCCTAGGAACTGCTGCAACTCCTTCACGTTCTCGGGTGTCTTCCACGTACGTACGGGCTTCGATTTTCTTGGGGGTCGACGTGAACTCCTTGAGCGCTCACCATTGTCCTAGGAACTGGACCTTTTCAAGGGCGAATTCGCTCTTGGACAGTTTGACGTAGAATCGTTCCCGTCGAAGAATTTCGAAGACGCGTCGCAGGTGTTCGACGTGCTGCTTCATGTCGCGCGAGTAGATGAGGTATGTCGTCCAGGTACACCACCACGCATTCGTCCAGAAGTGGTCGTAGAATGTGGTTCATTTCGGCTTGGAACGTTGCCGGCGCGTTGGTGAGTCCGAACGGCATGACCAAATACTCGTACGATCCGTACCGAGTTCGGAAAGCAGTTTTGTGGATAGAGTTGTCCGCCATCCGTATCTGCCAGTATCCGGACCGCAGATCCAGTTTGGAAAATACCGTAGCTCCCCGAAGCTGGTCAAGCAGGTCATCGATTCGCGGTATCGGATATTTATTCTTGATGGTCTGCTTGTTAAGAGCTCGGTAGTCGATGCACATGCGCAGGCTTCCGTCCGGTTTCGGTGTGAAGAGTACTGGGGCACCGTACGGCGAAGTGGATGGCCGGATGAGTCCTTTGGCTAGGAGATACTCGATCTGTTTTTCATGTCAGTCAGCTCCGTAGGGCTGAGCCGATATGGTGCTCGGAAGGTCGGCTTCGAACCCGGTTCCTCCACGATCTCGTGTTGATGCGTTCGGTATGGCGGTAGCTCGTTCGGAAGATCGTCAGGAAGAATGTCTTGGAACTCCTTCAGTAATTCCTTGATTTTTTCTGGAGTTTCCGAGGCTTTCTCTCCGTCATTCTCCACCTCTGTTGCTATCGCCAGGAACCCGGTGTCGGTCCGCTTCACGTCCTTCTCGAATCGTGCGAGTGTCTCCACTGGGATATCTCCAGTATCGTCCCAGTTGGGTAGCTGTACTCTCCGTCCATTGTTGTAGATGCTTGCGGTGCGGTTCACCCAGTTGATCTCGGGGTTGAATCTTTTCAGGAAGTCTCGCCCGAAGATCAAGTCAAGCCCTTTGATGTTGGTGATGGGGAGTGCAGGTCTCCAGCGCAGTGGTCCAATTTGTAGGTGTAGCACTGCTTCGCCGTGTACTGGTAACTTGCTGCCGTCCACCATCGTTGCAGAGAATCCTGAAGGCTTGTACTCTTCCCGAAGTCGGTCGATCATTGCCTTGTCGCAGACGGTGTGTGATGCTCCGCTGTCCACGAGTGCTTGGAGGCGTCGTCCTTTGCAGATGACCTCGAGCACGAGGGGCAGTCGTTGCTCGGAGTACCCAAAGATAGTTTCATTGATTGGGTCATAGGGTACATCCCAATATTCCGTACACACCTTTGTGTTGCTGTCTACTCCTGAGCTGGCAGCTGGCCGAGGCTGCTTGGAGAACGGCTCTTCTCCAGGGCCCGGAGTTTCCTGACGACTGTGCGCGTCACTGATGCCGAAGAACTGGATGCATCCGTAGGAGGAGTTCGGGGTTTGTGCAGCTTCTTGTAGACCCCCAGCTTCCTCTTGAGCTGCTTCAGCTCCACCGACGTCTTCCCTGGGGAGCGGGTAGTCGTTGTGGGCTGGTGTCGGGAGAGGACGTTGACTCCGTGGAAAGGTCGGCTTCTTTCCACACTCCTTAATTTGGTCCCCAAGTTGTCCGGTACCGGTATAATCTCCACAGCTGTCTGCTTCTTTTGGAGTCCCTCCCGAAATTTCTCCAAGGCTCTAGCCCTCGAACATCATAAGTTTTCATTAAAGCATCTTTATAAGATAACTTTAACGAATTCTTATAATTTCTTGGGTCTTCAAGGAGTTTCCCTGTCTCGGCAGAGTCTTTTTTCGCGGAGTCGTATTTTTCCTCGGCGATTTTCCCTGGCGAAGACTGGTCGTGGGGTGGAGATTTTCCCCATCATTTCCTCCTTCTCGCGTCGAATCAGCTTCGTCGAAGTTGATTTTTCCGGAATCCCGCGGCCGTTTCGGATCTTTTTATTTTCGCCAGCTAGATCCGCAATCACTGGCGACTCCCGTTTTTTGTCTTCTGATTGGCCGAAAGATTTCCGCCACTGTTGCGTGCCCGATACTCTGCGCGTGCGGCCTTCATTTTGTTGCAGTCGAAGATTCGGTGGCCCGGCACCCCGCAAAAATCACACGTGTAGTTGGTGTTTTTCGGACGTGGCCGCCCCTCGAATCTGTCGACTTCCATCGGGTCGGCGAACGTGGGGTGAGCCGAGCGGTCGCCCTGTCGCGTACTGCCGACGTGCGTCCGTCGTGTTCCGGCGTTGACCATGTCGAAGCGCTCCGCTGCCGAAACGACGTCACTGTAGCTCGCGTAGTTTGACGCTGCGACTTGTCGTTTGACTTCGGTCTTCAGCCCGGCGAGGTACGATTGTACTTTTTCCCCTTCGGTCAGGTCGGGAATGCGGTTATAAAATTCCTCCATCTGCTGCGTGTACTGCGCTACACTCCCGAACTGTCGATGCGATGAATTTTTTTCCCGGGCAAGGAAACTCGAATTTATCGGTTCGAAGCGTTTCAGCAGGTCGGCGCGGAACTGCTGCCACGTGGCTTCACCGTGGATGAAAGTACTGTTGCCGCCAATCCACTCGAGTGCCGGCCCTCGCATTAGTGTCGCCGCGAGTCGTACGCGTTGACCGTCCCAGACTGGCGAGCTCCATCCGACGGCTGCGAAGTAGATCTCCATCCCGGCGATCCATCTGCGGGCGTCGGAGTTTCGATCGCTCGGATCGAACGGCTCAGGTGGGCGCGGTTTCGGAGCCTCGAGAAACTGCTGCGACTGCTGCGTCGTCGCCGTTGTCGTCTCGTGCTGCGCTCCGGCGAGTCGAGTTACTCGCTCGAACTGGTTTCGCCACGCTTCGCGATCCGCTCGCATTTCCTCCTGAAGGGCTGCGATGCGCGCGAAGAGCTGCTGGGTAACCTCGGCGTTGTCGAAGGTTGCCATCCTGTTCAAAACACGCACGGAGGGGTAATTCGAAAATCGCGGAGCTGGTGCTTACCAGAATCGGCGTCGAATTGGTCGCCCCCGGCGGTTTTTCGAGGCAGGATCCCCGCTGCTGCTGCTTAGCTGAGCGCGGTCGAGTGAGAAAAGCTCTGATTACCAAGTGTCACAGGATCGAATGTGTCGAGGAAAGGTTGCACTATCGATCAGTACAAGGCGCTTTTATACTTCCAGAGTACATCAGGTAACCAGGTTTATCTTATCCAAAGGGAATAGACCCTTCTAGAAGATAGAATCACCCTGCGTATAGCCACGCGAGGCTATTGGCTTTAAGGGATTACAGTAGGATTACGCTAGATAGAGCGCACCAATACATCCCAAGCCTGGTCGGTGATATAATGATAATAGCAGGATAACCCAAAGGTTAATGGAAAAGGAAGAATAGGAAACCAAATGAGATGCGGTAAAAAGAGGAATGAAAAGGAAGGAAATAAGAAAAGGCCAAGTGGTGTAACGGGGTCGTACTCTCACACTACTCATCGTCTACGTCGACGACCTGCTCTACATCGGCTCCACTACCGACATCGCCACCTGGTTCGAAGGGGATCTGAAAAGGGACTTGACACTCACCGTGTCCGACACCGTGACCCAGTACCTGGGTCTGAACGTCGTCGAAGACAACTCGGCGTTCTACCTATACGCTGGAAAGTACGCAGTCGTTGTCGCGAAGAAATTCGGACTAACACCGACTACTGTCACGACTCCCTACCGCTACGGGAACAACAACGACACCTCCGCAAAACTCCCTGCGAAGCAAATCCAGGGGTATCAGCAGAAGCTTGGATGCCTACTATTCGCAGCAGTAACTTGCCGACCCGACCTATCCTACAGCGCGAGCCAACTGCGATGCATCTGAAGCAGCCGGAACAAGAAAATCTCGAGGAACTAAATCGGGCACTACACTACTTCGTCTCTACGCCAACGACCGGACTTACCTACAATAAAGAAACAACATCGTCCGTACGACTTCTCAGATACGTCGACGCCGATCACGCGCGAGATAGGGAAAATCGACGCTCAAGGGTAGCAACCGGAGGTTGCGACCAACCGTTACAATTGCAAGGATGGTAACCGAAGCGACAATCGAGTCGCTGTGCGACTCGATAACCGCTCTTCAACTGTATTCTACAACTGCTTTACTTTTCTACTTTCTATATATTGCTGTATGCTTGTTCTTTTAATCAATCACTTGTTCTCACATACTAGTACAAGGGTTCAACTACTTCAACTTCCGCTGCACTACTCAAGCACTTCTTACAACTGGGACTTAGTCTTTGAAAGATCCTAAGGGCTTTTCTCAGCCCAACAGAACTAAGTATGCTAGGAATTGTTAGAACTTAGGATGCTAGGTAGGTAGGAGGGAAGCCATGAAATGGCGTAAGGGTTTAGGAGCTAGGAGCTAGGAGAGAAAGTTGACGAGAGAAAAGAGAGAGAACTAGAAGAGAGAGAGGCATACCGTACAAGGAGGGAGTTGTTATCAGAAAGAAAATGATTGAAGTAGAATGGGTGTGTACAAGGATATATAGACTAGGGTGTTGTACCCTCTAAGGCACAATCCAGTATAGTCTACAGTAACGACCTAAGTTACATTTGACAGTTGTACCCTCTACAGTAAAGTTCGATAAAACCTACCAAGCCTACCAATTATATAACACAATATATAATTTAACACACCCCCTAGGCTTGGTAGTAGAAGCACCCACACACACCCACACCCCCTAACCTAGCAGGCTAGCACCCCCATTCTCAAGCAGCAGTCACGACTACTCCAGTGGGGCCAATCCCACGGCTCGTGAGATGGCTACGGCGGCAGCCGCGGCATTGACGACAGCGGCCGTCCGCGCCCGCGAACGCGAGCCCCGTTTTCGTATATTTTGTATAGCGGAACCCTAGCCCTCGTTCTCTCGATCGTTTCCGTTTAGTCGGCCCGTCCCCGGCCCGCTTCCGTAGCGGCTACTGCCCTGCTCGTTAGCCGCCCCCGTGCCTATTCGTAGCGGCCCGCCCGTTAGCCGCCCCCGCGCCTGTTGGTAGCGGCCCCTGCGCCCGTCCGTAGCAGCTCCCCTGCGCCCGTCCGTTAGCCGGCCCCCGTGCCCGCCCGTCGCGGCCCCTGCGCCCGTCCGTAGTGCCCCCCGCGCCCGTTCGTAATCGGCCCCCTCCCGCGCCTGTTCGTTAGCCGGCCCCCGTGCCCACCCCTAGCGGCCCTATGCCCGTCCGTCGCGGCCTCCTCGCCCTTTCGTACCCGCCCCCGCACCCGCCATAGCCGGCCCCCGCTCCCGTCCGTAGCCGCCCCCGCTCCCGTCCGTAGCCGGCCCCCCGGCCCGTCCATAGCGGCCCCTTGCGCCCGTCCGTTAGCTGGCCCCCGTGCCTGCCCGTCGCGGCCCCTGCTCCCGTCCGTAGTGGCCTCCGCGCCCGTTCGTAACCGGCCCCCCACGCCCGTCGTAGCCGGTCCCCCGCGCCCGTGCCCGGCCGGTCGTAGCCCCCCGCCCCCCCCCCCCCCCCCCCCCCCCCCCCCCCCCCCCCCCCCCCCCCCCCCCCCCCCCCCGCACCGGCCCGCTCTCCGCGCCCGGCCCCGACGCCCAGCTGCACGTCACGTGCAGCCGGCTCCTGCACCGCACTGCACCGCCCGTCACCTCACTGCACCGCCGCACTACACCTCACTGCACCGCCCTGCATCGCACTGCACCGTCTTGCATCGTAGCTACATCACCCCTGATGGCGGACTCTGTACTGCGGTTTGACGCAGAGGGTGAGCCGATCGAGTTCGACACGTGGCTCGTCGACCTCCGCCGTCACCTCACTAGGCAGCGGCAGGACAGCCACTCCTTGGCTGTCCACCTCGACGGTACGCTCCCCTGTCCTGACCCCCCTGCTGCGCTGCCCGCTGACCCCACATCTGCTGAGCGTGAGTCCGCTGCCGCTGCAGCCCTTGCCCGCTCGGCCTGCCGCCACTGCCGCGCTCTCCTTCACCCTTGACTCTGGCGCTTCTCAGTGCTTCTTCCGCGACTCCACTACACTCATGCCGCTTCCAGCTCCCGCCGCAGTTTCCCTGGCCGAACCTTCCTCAGGCCCTGTCGTAGCTCGTAGCTCCACTACCCTTCCCTGTTTGGCGGCTCCTTCGGGCTCATTTACAGGCCTGCATATCCCCTCGTTCTCTAGGAACCTAGTTGGTGTCAGCTGCCTCCAGGACCTTGGCGTCACCACTATGTTCCCTGGTTACGAGCGGTACGTTGTCTGTACCGAGGCCGCCACAGGTGCTCCCCTCACCACATTCCCCCGGGACCCGGTGTCTGGCCTGTTCACATTGGACACTGCCCCCCCTTGTGACGTTTCCCCAGGTGACTATGTCCCCTCAGGTAGTTGCGTCTTGCTCGTGTCGAACGCTTACTCACCCAACACTACTGTGGCACCACAGCCTAGGTCACCCTGCCTCCCCCGTCTTCGACATATGTCTCAGCACGGTCTCGTTCTAGGCCTCCCTGGGTCGTTCCCTACGCTCCCCTCCTCACCCGTGCCGCCGTGTTCCCCCTGCATCGAGGGCCGGCTCAGCCGTGCCCCTCACTCCTTGTTCCCCCCCACAACCGCACCCTTGCAGACCTCGCACATGGACGTCTGGGGCCCTGTCCCAGTTCATGGGCCCCGTCGTGAGCGTTACTTCCTCGTCCTTGTTGACGACTACACTCGTTACACCACCGTGTTTCCCCTGGAGTGGAAGGCCGACGTTCATGACGCTCATATCTCCTGGCTGGTCTCTGCGCGAGTGCACCGCGACCTCCCTGTCTTGCGTGTTCACTCCGACCGTGGTGGCGAGTTTGCCTCCGGCGTCCTTGGTCTTTTCTGCTGTGCGGAGGGCATCACCCAGACGTTCACCTTGTCGGAGTCTCCGCAGAAGAATGGGGTCGCTGAGGGACGCATCGCGCTGGTCATGGAGGTGGCTCGTACCTCCATGATCCATGCCGGTGCACCCCATTTTCTGTGGCCATTCGCCATTCGCTACGCCGCCCACTAGCTTAACCTGTGGCCGCACCCCCAAAAGCCGCACCCCCAGCACCCACAGGTTTTGCCGACCCTTCTGTGGACAAGGTCCCCTGGTGACGCGTCTGTGTTCCACGTCTGGGGCTGCCTTGCTGATGTTCGTGCCTCCGGCGCGGACAAGCTTACTGTCCGCACCGTCCCCTGTGTCTTTCTTGGTTTCCCCCTCGACTCATCTGATTGGCACTTCTACCACCCGCCGTCTCACCGTTTCTTTCACTCTCGCGACGTCACCTTTGACGAGTTTATCTACTTCTACCACCGCTTTCCCCACCGTGGTCCCCCGGTTACTCCCCCCCTGTTCCTTGGCCCCTCTTCCCCGGTTGCCCTTGCTTCCCCACCTCCCCGCCCTGCCCTGTCTGGTGTGTCTCACGTCACGCCCCTCCCGTCGGTTGTCCCGGTTAAGGAGTCTGCTGACTCCCGTAACCCTGCAGCGCAGTCCTTGCCGTCTGCCCCCGTCTCAGTGTCTCCTCCTCTGCCTTCGCAGCCGCAGCCGCCATTGCAGCCGCAGCCGCCGTTGTCGCCACTGCAGCAGCAGTTAGTGTCCCCTGGGGGTGCTGGCGCGGAGGAGGGTGCCCGTCCTGGGTGTAGTGCCGGTGATGAGAGGGTCTCTGGTTCTGGGGGTGTTCCTTCTGGGGGTGCTGGAGTGGACGGTTCCGGAGGTAGCCGTGGGGCAGCTGGCGGTTCAGGTCTCGGCGTCGTGCAGCAGCAGCAGCACGCCACCCGTGTCCGCCCTCCGCCTGCTCGGCCTTTCCTCCCCTGACCGCGCGTCTGCGCCTCCCTTACCGTCTCCTCCTCTTCCTGTCTACGGCCCTGTGTTCCCTCTTCCGGACTCCTCTCTGGCTTGTCTTCCCCCTCGTTCCCCTCTTGTATTGCTACTGCCACTACTGGCCACTGCCACTTGTGCCAGTGGCAGTGACGAAGTTTCTTGCAGAAAAAATTTCGTCTAAATGTTCAGACTTGCATAAAAAAATCGTATGAAATCTCAAACTCCTTGAAAATTTTCATCCGATGGTCAGACGAAACTTTGGAACCCCGCCTGATTATCAGGCAGCCCTAAATCCTAGCTGAAACACTGCGCCCCTTGTCAACCCTGCCGACTTGAATGCGACCGCCCATTTTTGTTTTCGATGCGGTCGTACTTTCAGAGCCCAATCCTAGCCTTGGTCCCTCTGTGCCTGCTGCCATTGAGAACCTTGCTACCGCATAATACTAGGCATATATTACACGGCATGCTGTCTGTGTATACTCATGTTTACGCGGCGTGAAAATTTCTAGGGATCCTGATGGATCAGGGATTTTTTTTTGGAGAGGCCTGAAAAATCAGGAGACCAAGGTGGGGGGACCCTGAGCTATCAGGTGCCTCTAAACGAATCTGAGGCCCAGCTACCAATTATATATCAAAGATATAATTTAACACACCCCCTAGGCTTGGTAGCCAAAAGCACACCACACACACCCCCTTAAATCTAGCACCCCCATACTCCGTAGCAGCGACGCCAACACCAGCCCAGTCAACCCCTCGGCGCGGGAGGCGGCGACGACGACAGCAAGGGCTGCGGCGGCAACGTCGACAGCGGCGGCGGCGTCGGCGTGCGGCGGCGTGGCCCCAACGCAAGCGGCGACAGCGGCGGCCTCGACAACAGCGGCGGCGGTGCCGGTGGGGCTCGCAGCACTCGGCGGCATGGCCGGGCTCCGCGATGGTGGGACGGCCAGCGGGAGGCAGCCATCGGCTGCCACGAGGAAGAGGGGACGCAGGGAAGGGGGGGCAGGGCTTCTGCAACACGCCCGTGGCTGGCGTGCGGGCGTCATGACCGGCGGTGCCTACGATGTCACGCGGCCCGCTGCCGCCCGTCGACACCGCCACTGCAGCATAACGTCGCCTCCACAGCGCGGCATCGATGCCGCGGCGGTACGTCGACGCTGCGACGACAGCACGACGCTGTCGCCGCGGTGTGGCATCGATGCCATGCGTCGGGGCTGCGACGGCAGCACCACGACGCCGTCACTGCAGCGCGGCATGGCCGCGACGGCGGCACGAAAGTAGCGGGACTGGCGACTGAAGTACGAGTAAGCGGCAGAAGCGTGGGGAGCAGGCCCGGGAAGGGCAACCTGCTCTGATACCATGTTGTACTAAATACGCTAGGAATGGTCGGCGGCCTTGAAATGGCGTGAGGGTTTAGCTAGGAGAGCAAGTTGACGAGAGAAAAGAGGACGAGAATAGAAGAGAGAGGGATACAAGTAGGGGGGTTGTGTCAAAAGAAAAACTAAATGATTGGATAGAGGGAGAGAACAAGTGTATATACCTAAGAGTGTTGTACCCTCTAAGAGGTGACCCTATACAATCTATACAAATATGAGTTATGCATATATTTGACACACCCCCTAGACTGCATAGGGGCAAATCCTGAACAAGCAGCTCAGGGCGGCACTACTAGTCCAGCCACTGAGACAAGGGTCTAAAGACCAGTCAAAAGGAGTACAGGCAAGACAAGAACAAGACAAGGGCGGCACTACTAGTCCGGCCACTGGAAAGGACACAAGTCCAGTCTGAGTACATATAGATAGATGTATATAGGACAGTACAAAGTCAAGGTCCTAGCAAGTGAGAGGCTACAGGAACTAGACCGAGCTGTACACAGTGCCGCTGATGATCTTTACGCGCAAGCGCCTTCGTAAAGATACCAGCTGTGTTGGCACCAGAGGCCAAGTGAACTACGCGGGCCTGGCGACGCTGCTGTAGCTCGCGCAGGAGGAAGTACCGCAGCTGAATGTGCTTCGCTCTGCCCTCAAGTCGAGGCTCCTGACACAGGAGTATCATGGCCCTGTTGTCAGCATACAGGACCGGGGCAGAGCTAGGCCGCTCACCTAAGTGTGTGAGCAAGAAAGTCAACCAGCGGAGCTCCTGTGCCGCCATGGCACCAGCGTAGATCTCAGCCTCACAGCTCGACTGAGCAACATACGACGAGCGAGTGGATCTCCAAGAGATAGCACCCGAACCAAGGCTAAAACAGTAGCCCTGTGACGACCTGAGCGTCTCAGAGTCATCTGCCCAAGAAGCGTCTGTGTGCCCAGTGAGGACCACTGGCCTGCGTCCTCCCAACACTAACCCCATGCCTGATGTACTTGCTAGATATCGCAAAACCCTCTTAGCTGCCGACCAGTGCTGTGGTCGGTGTCTGCCAGTGGCCACAAAGCGAGCCAGGATGCTAAGAGGGTATGCAAGATCTGGGCGAGTGCAAGTCATCAGGTACATGAGGCAACCCACCAGCTCTGCGTAGGGGCCGCTGGGCTCTACTGGCTCCTCAGGAACAGGAGCGGAAAACCCGTGGTCTACAGGTAGAGGTGTGGGCTGTGCAGAGGAGAACTGAAGACCGAACCTCTGAAGGACATGATGCACCAAGTGTGACTGGGTCAGAGTGATGGTGCGTGCTGCTCTGTCCCTGGAGATCTGCAGGCCAAGATAGCGACGCAGCTCTCCAAGATCAGTGCAGGTGTGTCTCTTCAGCAGCTCAGTCTTCATAGAGGCCAGTGCGTCCCTGTCAGGAGTACGAAGTCCGCCATCGTGCAGGGTCAGCGGCACAGCTCCACAGGAACTCAGCTACAGCCCCCTCCAGCACAGTGGCCACGAAGCGCCTCAGCACGGGCGAGCGGAGGAGACGGAGCCCGAGGCGGCACAGCAGGACGAGCCGGGGCGAAAGGGCCAGGCAGGGACGGTGGGGCCAGGCAAGCACGGCAGGGCCAGGCAGGCGCGGCGGGCCAGCCAGGGGCGGCGGGGCCAGGAGGCGCGGCAGGGCCAGGCAAGCGCGGCGGGGCCAGGTAGTGCGGCGGGGCTAGGCAGGCGCGGCGGGGCCAGAAGACGCAGCGGGGCCAGGCAGACGCGGCGGGGCCAGGCAGGTGTGGCGGGGCCAGGCAGTGCGGCAGGGCCAGGCAGGCGCGGCGGGGCCAGAAGGCGGGGCGGGGCCAGGCAGGTGCAGCGGGGCCAGGCAGGCGCGGCAGAGCCAGGCAGGCACGGCGGGCCAGTCAGGGGCGTCGGGGCCAGGAGGCGCGGCAGGGCCAGGCAAGCGCGGCGGGGCCAGTCAGGGGCGGCGGGGCCAGGAGGCGCGGCAGGGCCGGGCAGACGCGGTGGGGCCGGGCAGGCGCGGCAGGGGCCCAGGAGGGGCGCGCCGTGCGAGGAGGCGCGAGAGGGGCCCAGGAGGGGCGTGACGGGCTAGGTGGCGTGCCAGGGGCCCAGGAGGGGCGCGACGGGCTAGGAGGCGCGAGTGGGGCCCAGGAGGGGCGCGATGGGCTAGGAGGCGCAACAGGGGCCCAGGAGGGGCGCGACGGGCTAGGAGGCACGGCATGGGCCCAGGAGGGGCGCGACGGGCTAGGAGGCGCGACAGGGGCCCAGGAGGGGCACGACGGGCTAGGAGGCGCGAGTGGGGCCCAGGAGGGGCGCGACGGGCTAGGAGGCGCGAGTGGGGGCCCAGGAGGGGCGCGACGGGCTAGGAGGCGCGATAGGGGCCCAGGAGGGGCGCTACGGGCTAGGAGGCGCGAGTGGGGGCCCAGGAGGGGCGCGACGGGCTAGGAGGCGCGAGTGGGGCCCAAGAGGGGCGCGACGGGCTAGGAGGCGCGAGTGGGGCCCAGGAGGGGCGCGACGGGCTAGGAGGCGCGATAGGGGCCCAGGAGGGGCGCTACGGGGCCTAGGTGGGGGCGGCGCGACGGGGCCTAGGTGAAAGCGCGACGGGGCCTAGGAGGAACGAGCGGAAGCGGTAGGTGGGGGGGGGGGTCGAACCTACGGGTGATACCATGTCAAAAGAAAAACTGAATGATTGGATAGAGGGAGAGAACAAGTGTATATACCTAAGAGTGTTGTACCCTCTAAGAGGTGACCCTATACAGTCTATACAAATATGAGTTATGCATATATTTGACAGGTTGTACCCTC